AACAAAATAAAACCCCACAAGTAAACATCTTTCTGGTATTCACTGCTTTTAGTCAAGATCGATCTGACATCAGCAATGATATCCCTCATTCCTTGGTCTCTTCAGAACCCACCTTGAATTTCTGGAAGTCCTCTGTCAATGTACTATTCTAGTCATTCTTTAATATCTTCAACAATATTTTATTTGATTGTGATATTAATTATGGTATTTGATGACTCCTACCCTATGCAGACTCACCCTTTTTTAGAATAAGAACAAATATGAATCTCTTCCAGTCAATTGGCTAGGCAGCAGTCCTCCAGATTTCTTGGCATAGACTTGGCATAGTGTTGTTGTCGTTGTTGGTATGTACCATTGAGTCTCCTGTGACTCATAGCGACCCTATGTACAAAAGCTCTGAATCCTGCCCTATCCTGAGGCAGTCTCACTGTCTCTGACACACCCACCTCCATTACTCTAGTTACTGTTTCAGTTCATCTCATGCAGGGTCTTTCTCTCCTGCGCCATCCCTGCACTCTTCCCACCATGTTGTCCTTCTCCAGGGACTGGCCCCTCCTGGCAACATGTCCAAAGTATGTCAGACGGAGCTGCAAAATTCTTGCTTCCAAAGAGCAGCTCAGTTTCACCCTTTCCAGGACAAACCTATTTGTTCTCTTAGCAGTGCATGGTATGTTCAGTACTCTTCTCCCACACCACAACTCAAAGACATCAATTCTTCTTTTATCATCTTAGTCATTGTCTAGCTTTCTGATCCACAGCAAGTAATTGTGAAGACCACAGCGTGGATCAGGTGCACCTTAGTCTTTAGACTGTCATCATTACTCTACAGTAGTTTGGAGAGGTCCCTGGTAGCAGATTTTCCCAATGCCATTTGTCTTTTGATGTCCTGACTGCTGGTGACATCGGTGTTGATTGTGGAACCAAGCAAGCTGAAACTGTTAACAATTTCAATCTCTTCTCCATCTATCATGATGCTGCTAGTTGGCCCACTGGTAAGAATCTTTGTTTTCTTAATGAGCTTCAATCCATATCAAAGGCTACAGTCCTTGACTTTCTGCAGCAAAACACACTTCAAGTCCTCCTAATTTTCAGCAAGCAAGATTGTGTCATCGGTATAATGCAGGTTGTTGAGTCTTCCTCCAATCCTGATGCCACATTCCTTCTCATAGAGCCCAGCCTCCCAGATGAACTGTTCTGCATACAGATTGAAGATTTAAAAGGTATGAAGAGAGGATGCATCCCTGGCATACACCTTTCCTGATTCTGAACCATGCAGTATTTAATTGTTCTGTTCTAATGACTGCCTCCTGCTCCAAGTATAGGTTTCACATGAGCATAATTAAGTATTCTGGGATTTCCATTCTTTTCAAAGTTAGCCACAGTTTGTTGTGATCCACAAGTCAAATACCTTTGCATAGTCAATGAAACACAGATAGACATTCCTCTGGCACTCTCTGCTTTCAGTTAAGATCCACATAACATTGGAAATAATACCCCTAGTGTCATGGCCTCTTCTAAACCCAGCCTGCACATCTGGCAGTTCTCTGTAGATGTGCTGTTGCAGTTGTTTTTGGATAATCTTCAGTAGGATCTTGCTTACATCTGATATTATTGATCTTATTTGGTAATTTCTACACTGTCAGATTATAGTGGGTATTTAATAGTTTTTAAGTGAGTAATGAATGAATGGATTAATAAGTGAGTCGGTAAGTAAATGAATGGAATGGTGACAGGACCTCCTTCCTACCATTTGCTAGAGAGCCTCACAGAGATAGCTGGCATCACACCCTGACAGCAAATGGGCAGATATTCACAACCAATCCAAGCCAGAGGCAGGCCAGGCGCCAGGGGGCCACACGTGTCTCAGTTCAGCCCCTGCCCTGCCCTCTCCTGCTCAAAGTTAAATAACACAACATGGTTGAGAAAAAGTCAGAATAAAAGGAAAGGAGGTGGCCAGGCAGTCCATCCACGTGGTGTCACATAGACAACGCAGAAGTCACTTTCTTTCTCTCCTTGTCACTCCAAAGAGGGCAATAAAGACTATCAAGCAGGCGAGCTCTGGTGGCCTAGTGGTAGGAAACTGCACTGCAATCCCAGAGATGCGCGGTTCAAATCCACCGGATGCTCTGCTGAAGAAGGAGGAACAATCGTCTCCTGTACCAGTCAGATCCAATTTGACGGTACACACATAAAAAGAATGAATGAATGAATGAATGAATGAAAATTATCTTTTAAAAAAAGACTATCAAGCAAGAACAGACAGGAAAGTGGAGTTCAAAGAGCAGTAGAAGTTGAGCAGGTGGAGCAAAGGTGAGAGCCAGGTTCAGGCTGTAGGGATGGTGTGAGGGAGTACTCTTCATGGGGGGAGTGGGGATCACAGGGGCTCCACCCACAATGGGTCTGAGAGGGAGGGAGACTCCTGCAGAGACATGTGGGCTGGCAGGTGTGGACATCCACTGAGGACAGACCCTGGAGACTCCTCTTAGGTCCCAGGCAGCAGGAGGTCAGCAAGGTGGGTAGCAAAGAGATGTAGGGGGTGGAGAGGAAAGATTCAAATGTGAAGCCAAAGGAAAGCAAAGAGCCAGGCCAGGAGAACATTGTGAGAGGCTTAAGGAGAAAGCCAGGAAGGGCTAACTAAGAAAGGGCAGGGGCAAGGGAAGGGTGAGGACCTTTCACAGTTTTGTGTGTTTTAAAAAGACATGATAGGATGTAACAATCTATTAGAAACCAGGTGAAACTGAGGCTCTAATCCAAGATGGTACTTTAGATATAATATTTTAGAGACCACAAGAGTGGTTTCATTTTGACAGAAGTAAGAAACTCTTCAAAGGGATGCAAATTCTTACGTGATACAAATGAAGGCTGTTCTGTAACTAAATGAAAGGTTGATAGCTTGAATCCACCCAGTGATGCCATGGAAGAAAGGCCCTGGTGATCTACCTCTAAAAAAAATAAAATTATAGTCACCAAAAACACTATGGAGCACAGCTCTGCTGTGACACATAGGTGGGGTCACCATGTCAGAACACACTGAACTCTCCAGCCAGGGATTTGCAATGTGTATATGTGGTTTGATTATTAATATTGGGATATTTTCCTCCAATCTCTGTGACACACACTTTCATCAGCAGGGGAACATCAGAGATGCCCAACAGTTGGGTGAGAACAGGGAGGCAACCTGTCCTCCAAGGAGACATCAGGCTGGTGAGAAGCTGCAGAATTCACCCCTATTCAGAGAATCTTGTGTCCCCAGCACAGAAAAGGGCCTCATGGAAGAATGAAGACATGAACAAATAAGTCCAGGGCAAATTTCCTGGCTAAGAGCTGAGGAGGTCAGCATGTAGGAGACTGACTAGAAGGTCTAAGACCAGACAGAAGGTCAGAAAGGAAAGCAAAAGCCAAAATTCAAACAATACAAAGAAGTTGGGGATAATATGATTGGAGGCAAGGCCTCTGGCCTAGGGCTAGAGGTGTATCCACCTTTAAGTGAGTGGAAGGGAGAAGTGTCTGAGCAGGGAAGAAGGAGAAGTTGTCAGATGGGAAGGACTAGAATAGGCCACATGTTCAACCTGATGGTGAACATGGAGTAGAAAACTCAAAACCAGCAGAAGGCCCATAAACGGGGTCGGGGCCTGCCTCACTGGCGAAGAACACACAGAGTCACACACTGTTCTGACTTCAGCGGGGATGGACCCCAGGGATATGCCTCCCCACCTAGAGATCGTTCATTGTCTGTACTCATTGATAAGCTGCAAATCCACACTCATTACTACACCGAGACACTCAACTCCACTGGTTCTTCTGGATACATTGTCATTCTCAAGTGTCAGTGGGTCAACTACAACTCACGACGACCCCATGACCAATAGAGCAGATCCTTGTCCTATATCCTGCATCATCCTCACCCTCTCTGATTCGCTCAACCCCTTAGTGACAGTCCCTATGTCACCTATCTTATGAGGACATAGAGATCCCCCTCTGAGTCCAAAACTTTTGCAGACTTTCCACCCTTATGATAGTGACTGTATTTCTAAACCAAGAAAAAGGGAAGGGCGTGTTCATGGTGGTTCCCTGAGAGATTTCTGGCTTTCCATGCAAGAGGTCCAGATGGGATTCCCAACTAATGCACTTCACGCTCCGCTTCCCCCCACCTGGCAGCAGAGGTGTGTTCATTGCTATGACGATGAACAGGTTTCCACACTAAGACAGACAAGGTGATCCATTTCCAAAAGTCAGCCAACACCACCAAGTCAACTGTGACTCGTAGCGACCCTATGAAAAGGACCGCAGTCCTGCCCCTTCCTGTGCCGTCCTCACCATCTCTGATACACTTGAGCCCATTGCTACAGTCTCTGTGTCAATTCATCTCATCAAAGTTCTTCCCTCTTAACCTGACCTATTACTTTTCCCAATAAGATGTCCTTTTCCAAGGACTTGTCCCTCCTAACCACATACTAGTCTATCAAAGGATTGGTGCAGGACCTGGCAGTCTTTAGTTCCCCTCTAAGTGGACAGGGTTGTCACCTGGCTAACAAGAAAATAGCTAACAGCAAACAAGAAAATACATGATAACAAAGAGCTACCAGGAACTCAAGGTGCTGTCGACCCAAAGGTAGGCAGTTCTAACCCACGAGCGGCTCCTCAGGAGAAAGACAGGCCATCTCCTCCTTTGCAATTTATAGCCTCTGAAAACCCACTGGAGGGTCAGCTATGAGTCCAGTTCTGAGGAGTTTGCTGAGACCTTCAATAGTTACCATATACCCTTGGAAACTGGAAGAAGAGACCCAAAATCTCGGTTTTTACTGACTAGTGGTGCCAATAACTGAGAAACCCTGGTAAAAATGTTGCCATCTATAGGTTGGGGACCCAGCCCTTCACATATCCAATGTCTTCAGAATTCTGTCCTGCAAGGAAATGCAGCCATGGGGAGGCAGGGCAATCAGGAGGAAACAGAAGACCGAGGGGATGACAAAGTATCTCCATGACTTAGGACCACTTACCGTGAGCGTGGGGCCCTGAGGCCAGTGAGGACGTCTTGGCCTGGAGGCAAGGGGCTAGGAAGGGAGCTGGAAGCCTGAGACGAGGTCCCAGCAGGCAGTGAAGCCTTGGGGATGGGGGGGATCACAGCACCTCCCAGAGACTTCTGCATCTTCTCATCATTGCAGTGCAGGTATTGTGGGGAGATATGCACCTGAACAAGGAAACAGGTATGGAGAGAATCGCCTCCCCCACACCCACTCCTCAAATGTGCATTGAAGCCCAGGCCACTGTGCCTGTGACTGTGACCCTGTTTGGAAATAGGATTTTCTTTTCTATCAATGAAGGCATTCCCATGTTACTTCTGAGTTGTAAGAAGAGCAGAACAGACACAAAGACACACAAGAAGATAGAGAAGAGGAGAAGAGATGCTGTGTAAAGACAGACACACGCAGCAGATGCAGCGAAAAAATAGGAACACCAAGAACTAACCAAACACTGAAAGTGAAATAGACAATGAAGAACTTTTCCCTAGAGCTGTGCTCTGAATTTAAGAATTTTAGCCTCTAGGATTGTGAGGGGCTCTGGTGGCTTAGTGGCAAGAAGCTGTGCTGCAACACCAAAGGCACATGGTTGAAGGCACATGCTTGGAGGCCACCAGCTGCTTCACAGGAGGAAGAGCAATCTCTTCCCATGCGATTAACTGCCTCTGAGAACCCACCAGAGGGTCATCTATGGTACACACCAGCAACAGGACTGTGAGAAAATAGCATTCTTTCTTTAAAGTATCCACTATAGGTGTTATACAGCACCAAAAATGAACACAGAGGCAGGGATCTGCATGGGACCACACACAAACACACACACACACTCTGGCTGCTCACCTCCCACCACCTCACACAGGACGGGCCCCTTCTTTTGGGAGGCCCCTGAGACAGGCCGGCTGGGAGATGTTCTCTCTTTCTTTTCTCAGCACACACGGCCCTGGGACCCTGGAAAGTGCACTGACCCTTCCTGCTCCAAGCAAAAAAGACTGCAAAGGTGCCCTCCTCATCTCGCGCCCCACCCCCCCACCCCCCACTTGCAGTCACTTTCTTGGTTATTTTGCTGTTCTTCTCATTTCAGAAAAGTCCCAAAGCATCTGAGACAGTAAAGTCCTGCCTAAACGTCTGGTGTAGCTTCCTCTTTCTCTGAATGGTCAGGCTGGGGTCCAGAGAGAGGAGTGACTTGGCCGAGGTCACACAATCATGTGAGGGGTGAGTGGGGTAGAGGTGGGGTCCTCTGAATCCTAGTAGGATCTTTTCCCCTCTGCCTTAATGTCTGACTTAAAACAGAGCGAGGCAGAGCGCATGTACTCTTCTGGAGAAGAAGACCTAGGGAGCACCACGCCTAAAGGAAATGGTCATGTAGCCTCTACTTAAGCACTTTCAGAAACAGGGGGCTCACTACCTGAAGTGCAGCCACCCAGGGTCCCCAGCAGACAGGATCCAGATGCCCTCAGGGAAGGTGGGAAGGAGGCCCTCAGTCTTTCCTTGCCCTCCCCCCACTGTTGAAGGCAGCTCCTAGGACGCCGCTAGAGAACCCCAGAATCCCAGAACTGAGCACAGATAACCACACGTTACCCCACCGAAGAAAATGCAGGGAGGAAGTGGCTGGCCCAAGTTTATTCAGTGGGTGTTTATGCTGAGCTAGACCCTAACTTCTTATTTTGAGGGGTTCTTTCTCTATTTATTCCCTGAAGGTGGTACGAGCTAGCGAGTTCAGGGGAAAGGCAGCCCCCTGGGCAGGTACTAGTCCAGTCCTCCAATCATAACTCCAGATCATTCAGCCCTGCCTCCTTCCCCACCCCGCTCGGGGAGGCCCCGCCCAGTCGCCTCTGCCCCTTCCACATCCAGAGGCTTTGCTCTGCCAACCAGGCTGCAGAACACTGCAGGGTCAGAGTGGGCTTCCCTAACCCCCACCCTGCCTGACCTCTGCCTTTGCTGCTTCCTTCTCTGGGTCTCACCCTCCTCCAGGGAGTTTAGTAGGAAAATGAAGGACAGACAGAAGGACAGAGAGGCTTGAGATGAGCCCAAGATTCAACAGAAAGGCCTTACCTCCTGGGCACCAGGCCTCAGCTCCTGGGGACCCTGGCCACTTCCAGGAGGGTCCAGACCCTTCTCCTTGGCCCCGCCGACCTCGGGGGTGGCGGGGATGCTCTGGATGGGGGGCATCGGCCTGGGCACCCTCAGTAGCCTCTGAGAAGTGGCACGGGGGATGACGTTCCTCAGGGGAACCCCTTTGAGGCCTGCCCCAGGATCCAGAGGGGCTGTATGAGAGGGGAGAGAGGACATAAATTAGTCCTAGGAAGATGGCAGAGGTGGGGGATTTGCCCCCAGACCCCCAGCCACGCAGCTGAGCAAGCAGATGGTGCTCGGGGCCTTTCTCATCCCTGTGAAAATGTAGAGAAAAATGCCGATCAGAGGCACCTATTTAAAATTCAGAGGCCAAGCGAGGAGGAAGGGAAGTAGCGTCAGCCCTGCACCCGGAGCTGACTAGAGACTGCAGCTCTGGACCCCGGGGCCACACAGGAGTCCTGCAGCCTCGCCCCCTCTGAAACCCGTTTGCTCTCAGGCAGAAGAAAAACAATTGCATCAGGGAGCAATCGCATTGCGTCTATGACACGTTTCTAAAATGACAAGTGCCTGGCACATCACAGATGACAATGAATTTTTTCCTACTCCCCTCCCTTCTCAGCTAATGATGTGGGGAACAGTTATTTTGACACCGAAGCACTCTGACGTCATCTAAAAGACGTCATCACCACCTCATGCCTAGTTCTAGGTCTAAAAACCACTGTACCCTGCAGACAACCGCGCTCCACCAGGCCCGCCCCCGCTCACACAGCAGCGTTCTCCTGTCCCCTGTGCAGCCCCCAAGGCAAAGGCACCGGGCAGCAAGGACAGACAAGAGCTGAGATCTCAGAATAGGTGGGGGAAACAAGAACACAGGCTAGTGTCTTGACTTCCAGAGCCATTTTTGTTCCATCCGATTTGGAGGTCTGGTGAAGTAGTCCGTGGGGAGTAGTACTGATAACCAGAAGGTGGTGCCTCTGGAAGGTTCCAATCCACCAGAGGAGGCTTGGAAGGAGAAAGATGGGCCCTCCCCATGCAATTTATACCCGCAGACAGCCTCTGGCAGATGAGCTATGTGCCAGTTCTGACAGGATGGCAAGTCAAAGTATATGCTCTGCTGCCTGCAGGCCTTCCCACCTTCCACCCTGGGCTGCCTACGGCCCCCACCTGGCCAACTACACAGAGACGTTGCACAGCCCCAATGCAGGGTGGCCAGGCAGCCCAGCCGGCTGGGAATGTGACATGCAGACTTGTGCCAGGTGGAGGACAAAGGAAGAGTAAATAAAGACCCCTTGGTTTCTTCATACCAGAAATAACTCAGGCATGAATGGAGGCTTTCTTTGCTAGGGCTCATGGTTAAGAGGAAGGGTGAAGAAACAAAAATAAAAGTCAAAACCAGGGTAATTCTGTTGGGAAAATGTGTCCCAAAGAAGCCCGGATAGGCTATTTTCCCCTAGAGTTGGAGGTAATGCAAAAAAACCCAAACCAAACAAACAAACAAAACACAAATTTCTCCATGTGGAGCGAAGCTTTCCACAGTGGCCAGTTCCTGTTCCTGTTTGACCCTGACACCCTCATTGGCTAACATGAGTTCTGCCTCTAGCAGCAGTGTGACCCTAACACAGAGAGTGAGCACAGCCCTAGTTAAGGTGGCAGGGCATCCAGGCCTGCTAGGGAAGATGGGGCAGAGGGCAGAGAGTTCCTGGTCTCCACGGCTTATTGAGAGACCACAGATCGCTTCCGGTGATCTCAGCACATTAACCAGAACAACTCCTGCTTTTATTATCTTACACCAGAACTTCATTTTTTAAAAAGGAAAATGAAGATTGCTAGAAAAAATATTATCAAAAGTCTTTAAAAAAAAAAAAAGCAAACAAGTAAGCAACAAAACAAACCTTGAGCTCATTGCCACCCAGTCTGAAATAACTTATAGCTGACCCCTCACTGGGTTTGGAGACTGTAAATCTAGATTGCTTATCTTTCTTCCTCAGAATCACTGGTGGATTCGAACTGCCAGAGAAGGTTAGCAGGGTAATTTCCTATACACCAAGCTATCAGAGCTAAAGGAGGGAGTCATTGATCTGGCAGCAAAAGAAGTTGCACCATCTGGAGATTCAAAGCCAATTTCTCCAGCACTCCAGGCTACCTGCTCCCTCCTTCCCGCCAGGCTACCTGCTCCCTCCTTCCCGCCAGCTAGCCACAGGGTGATTCCAGCATCCTCTTGGGCTCACTGGGAATCAGAGATGCCTGTAGCTTCATGGGGAAGCTAACTGCTAACCAGAGAAGTTGTAAATGCACCCATTTCCAAATGAAGGTTTGACAGTAGCAGTGACAGGCCCCTGAGACTGAGACTTCCAGGCTTCTTACTCCTTTTGCACCCAAGAGTTCAACGACTTAAGAAGGAACTAGTTACACAATTTTCCCAAGGCAATAAGGGGTTTGTGCGGGGAGAAGGGTGCAACAATGAATGAATGGAATCCCAAAATCTCTGTAGATGTTCACTGAAATGAAAAATAAACAACCTAAATTAAAAAAAAAAAAAAGAAAACAAAGAAGAACATTCTCTTAGTAGGTTATCAAGCAGCTATACCAAGAACTCAGTTGCTACTCTGTAAGAGCTCACAATCAAGTATAAGATTCTTATTTTAAACAAATAATCACACAAGTAAATATACAAAGGTAAACTATGAGAAAACCTAGGAGGAAAATCTCAGGAGCATGTATTCCTGGAGATAATTGCACAGGACAGACTCAGACAGCGGAGGGAGCCTTCTCTGAAGAAGGATTTGGGCCTTTGGAAAGCCCCGCTTCCTTCCAAAGCGGAGCTGCAGGGTATATGGGAAGAACAGTAGGCTCTAAAGCCCAAGGCAAGGAGGGCACATTTGGTCAGAGAACTGGGAGTCTACTGCTCCTGACATGCAGAGATCAATGACAAAGTCACAAAGGGTCAGGCCAAAACTGCACAGGGCCTTGTGCACAAATAAACGCTCAGAATCTCATTCTCAGTCCATTGGAAAAATCACTGGGTGGCTTTTAGTATAGTTGGTAATGGAAGAGGACAAAATATGACCAGATTTGTATTTTAGGAGTCTTCTGGGGAAAGTTCTAGAAGGGACAAGGGTAGAAATCAGGGCCAGAGGAAGAAGGTGGCGGCCCAGGCATGAAAACATGCTCCCAGGAGGTAGCCTGGGACGGAGAGAGAATCCTGTTTGGTGGGTGTGACCCAGTCATTCCTGAGTCAGTGCTAATGTGTCCGCTGTCTACCCACTGCAGCTGCAGGTGGTCTGGGGTCTGTGATCTTGGGTGGTAAGTGTGCAGGGCCCAGGGCTCAGCACTTACCTCTGGACGATGCTCCCAAGCCCTCTGAGAGTCTCCTCTTCTTAAGCTTGTCTTTGATCTGGGTGGTGTCCCGGGCCACACTGCTGGCCTCTGACTCCAGCGAGGGCAGGGGGGCAAGGGGATGGAGCCCCAAAGGCAGGGCCATGAGGCCCCTGGGGTGGCCATTTCTGACCTGCCAGCCCTTCAAGGGGACATCCGGCTTGAGGCTGCCAGGGTCCTGAGGTCCACTCAGGAGCTGCGACGGCTTCTCCAGCAGGGTGTTGGGCACAGACTGAAGAGAGGCTGAGGAGACAGGCATGGCGGGCTGAGAACACAGTGCCCAGGTGACACCAGAATCTCACCATCCTTGCCACAGTCAACCACTCGGTCTGGTGAATCCCAGTCACTCAACAACCCAGCCACTATGTCACCAATTCATTCCCTCAATGGTATCTATAAAACATCTAATGTGAGCCAGGCCTGTGCCAGGAGGTACTTCTGGAACAAAAAGGGAATCCAATATGGAAGGGGGGAGCATCCTCTGGCAACAGACAATGGGCAGATCTGCCCAAAGATCACCATCATCTATCCCTGCAATGCAGCACACACATTCAATATGCCTGAGTGCCTGACACGCACCAGCCACAGACAGAAAACAGACATTCAGATGATTCACGAAAAACCATCCTCACGCAGACACGTGCTTATCCACTGACTCATTCAGCAAACTGTTCACAGGCATTCACTATGGGAGTCTCTGAATGTGCAAACATCTACTGCAGTCAGCTGCTAGCGGAGTTGGAGGCTCAGGTCCATCCAGAAGCGCCTTAGAGGAAAGGCCTGGTGATCTCCTGAAAACTCAGCCACTGAATCCCCTCTGGCACTCAAGGGGTCAGAGTCGAACTCCACTCAGTGGTTATCGCTTTGTATGTGCAAGTGTGGGGTAAGCAGGGCACAGTCTTTGATATTAAGGGGTTTTTAGTGGATTAGAGAATAAAATATGCCTGTCAAGAGGAGCCTGACAAGGTAAAAGATGACCCGTGCAATAAGATCTCAACAAAACGCCTTGTTCTGTTAGAGGAGGAGAGTGGTCTGGAAAATGTCCGTGAAGTGGTGACCCTTGAGCTAGACCTTGAAGGAGCCCTACACATAAAGGCACAGGGGAAGGCAGACTGACAGACTGAATTTCAGAATCTCTGCCCATCTTTAGCTTGATGCCACAGACCCTGCAGCCCAGACCACAGATACTAGACTGGGAGTGGACCCTTGAACCAAGAGCAGTCCACCTCTCAGTTGGCCTCTGGGATGTGCAGGGCTGGTCTCTGGAATGTGTGTCCATTGATCTCTGATGTAAGGGGCTGGCTACCGGTGTGTTGGGGGTTGGCCTCTGGTGTATTGGGGGCTGGTCTCTGGTGTTGTGAAGGGCTGGATTCTGGTATGGGGGAGTCTGGTCTCTAGCGTGTTGGGGGCTGGTCTCTGGTGTGTTAGGGGCTGGTCTCTGGTGCGTTTAGAGTTGGCTTCTGGTGTATGAGGAGGAACTTGAAAGCTTTGCCCTATCATAGAGGAAGACGAGTTCAGAACAATCTCCATCCAAACACCAGAACAAGAGCTTTTCAGAGAAGACCAGATCCAAGTGGGAAGCCAGTGATGTCACCAGAGTTTGTGTCACACAGTGTGGTAACTCATGGTTGGACAGTGAATAAGGCAGAATGAAGAAGAACTGATGCTTCTGAATTGTGATGTTGGTGAGGAATACGGAAAAAACAAATCTGTCTTGGACGAAATGCTAGGAAGATGCTCCTTAGAGACAAAGAAGGTGAGTCTTCACCTCACATCCTTTGGGCATGCTTTCACAGGAGGGCCCAGCACTCTTTCCTCTTGCCCTGTGCCCTGGAACTCCCTGCAGTTTCTCATGCTCCTCTCCGCCCAATGGCAGTCTCTTGCTCTGGTGACAAGCGACACAAGGGCTTTGGAGGTCCCTCCTACAGTGCTGGACTGGCACTGGTGAAGCCTGGTGCCTTGAGGTCATTCTGGTGTCATCATCTCTGACAGTGATACAAGCAGAATCAAGAGGTGCAGGCCACAGTCCCCTGTCAAGGCCACAGATAGAAGCTAATGGAGAAAGTCGCCAGGTGGGAAGTGGTGAGGAAACCGAGTTTTAGATCCTCCCAGAAGAGCTGTGGGTGAGCACTAACATTACTGGTAAGTATATTCATTTTCTCCTGGACACAAGAGCCTACTATTTGGTCCTAAAAGCCTTCTGAGTTCTCAACTCTTCTCACTATTTCTTAGTTGTTGGA